ACGAGGAGCATTTCCAGTGCGGAGGCTCCGAGCACAGCCCAAAGCCCGTTAGGGAAGCAGGCCCTCAAGCTGGATCCCCATAAGGTCCTTCACATTATTTGAAAATAGTAAAATTCTGCCTTTTCTGAAAAGAGAAGCAGTGATGACAGACACGGGGTGGGGTTTTGTGAAAAAATGCACTTCACAGAACAAGTCCGACTGGCAATGACCAACCAAGAGGCCATGACGTCACTCTCACGTCAACACCCTCTGTGACACGTCCCCAAGCCCACTCTGCTCTCATGATGCAGGACACAGAGTGGGAACCAGTTACTAGGAATGAGACAGCGCTTTGCACTCAAGAACATGCACGTTTGAGGAATCAGGAGAACTGTGATCTGCCATGCCAAAAGTGATCGGATGAATGATAATTTCTGGACCTAATGGAAAATCAAGGGCATCTGAAGACCAAAAGAGCAGTTGCTACCACCACCTAGGAGAACACCATCCTCGGACTGGGTGAGAGCTTTCAAACTCCTGCTAAAGTTCAGCAAATCCCATTTTTCTGTGGCTGACTTCCAGCAGTATCTGAAAACTGAAGGGGAGTCATCTTCAGAAGCAAACATTCATCACCCACATTCTCTTCCAAGCACATCAGGCAAATCTGAGCTGCCAACAGAAGCTTAGTGGCGAGCAGACAAATAAAAAGACAAGACAAATAGAGCAATTATCCTCCCCACGCAGAAAACAACCGTCAGACAACGCTGACCACTGCAGTCCAATACAAACCCTCACATTCCTCCCAAACGGGAAGAACCATCGCAGTTTAGCTCTATAGAAGATGGCCCAGGTCGGCACCTGGAGGGTATTTTGGACCAAGCTGGTGGGAGATGCAAACCCAGAGCAGTACAGAAGTCCTCGTATCTTGGGAGATCTGCAAGAGCTTGGCTTTTTTTCTTTATTTTTTCCCAAAATATCACTTAATTGTAGGGTCACTTGCTTTATGGCAAGGGCCTCCCACCAGAGGCACCAAGGGACCTAGGCCAGCAAGAATGGCACGTCCCTGTTTGTAAGCAGCAGCAAAAACCTCCCCAGCAAAAGCACGGATCAAGGATTTTACAACCATGCCGGGGGATCCAGGACACGCCCGGGAATACAAGATTTGCCCTCACTTTGACTGTGCTGCCAGGGCCACCGAATGACCACCTAGTCTTCTTTGAGTTAAGAAAATAAATAAACAGAAGGAAGGGCAGGAGGCAGAATAGTAGTTTGCAACACAGCTAAGGCTGAATGTGGGACAGTATCTTCGAGGACCAATGGAGTATCTTTGAAGACTTACAGAGTATCTTTGAAGATTTACAGAATATCTTTGAAGACTTATGGGGGCATATACATAAATACACCAGTAGAAGAGGTGTTTTTATAGACAACCAGGTCAATGGCATGGAGCTCGGAGGTTGTCAGGTGAGTGCAAGGGGAAAAATCACAGGGGAGGAGCAGCTTTCAAGACCTGTGCCATCTTCCTTACGTGGAACGCAGTCCACCACGCAAATCCCCAGAGAGGGATTTTTGATGAACTCCTTGGTAAGGGCCAGTCGCAGAGGAACAGCCGTGCCCAGTGCGACGCCACTCCGACATCCCGGGGCCACCGCGAGACTTCCCGAAAGACCAGACTCAAATTGGAGCTGCAAATATCAGAGAGCCTGGCTCCAAAACTGGAATGAACGAGAAGGAGGAAAATAAATAAATAATATAATAAAATAAATGACATACTTCATCCTCCTCTTTTGTGGCTTTTATTTTCTTTTGTCTTCGCTTTGGGAATAACATTCTTTCCATCGGGAAGAGTCTGATTTTCCATTAAATACAAAGCAGCTGCCATTTTGGAAACAAAAAGTTGATTAAACACAGATTTTTTTTTCCTTCCCCCTCCCTAACATATAAGGGAGACCCATACTGGCTTCTGCGGATTTGCCAGGGCCGAGAGGCTGCCAACTGTGGCAGCAGGAAGGCGTAAGGAAAGCAAGCGCGCACAAGATCGCATCATCGCAATATGCCTTGAGCATCTACAAATCCAAGGCGAAGGATTCCCAGTTGTTGGATAGACCGGGAAAAAAAAAAGGAGGAGCTTGCAATGCAGAAACACTCTACCAGTGATCCTGAAACCACTGGCCTCAACATGATTTTCCAAGGGGGAGCCTCAGAGCCAATTACAGAGGAGTGGCAACCACTGCCGGGGCACATAGAACTCCAACTTCATTCACATCATTCCAAGCACCAAGCATTGCATTAAGTTCCAGGTTTAAATGCTTAGAAATGACACTTGAAAAACAGAGAAAGAGAGAAATACAGTAGAAATGAGCCTTACTGCCACCTTGGCTTTTGCCAATACACCAGGTTCCCCTTATTTATGCCTGTGCAAGGAAGCCAAGGCAGAAAGACCACGGCGATCTTGAGCAACACTTATGGACCTGCCTTTTTAAGAGCTTTGCTTGCCCTCTTGTGCTGTTATCTCTAACCTAAGCTGCACCATCCAGGGAGAACATATCTCTATTTGATTCCACCGACCCTTACGACGTGCAGTTAATGTGGGTGCAATTGCAGCTGTTTCTATCACACTGCTATCGGCTCTGAATAATCAACCCTAAATCCTTGATGACTCCCAGGGCAGCTGCAATTCAGCTCATTTAGCTCCTCTGAGCTTCTGCTTGGCAAGGCTTGGGTGCAGGGAACAGGTTTAATTCCCTAGGCTGAGGGTGGATTCCCGACTACCAAATTCCCCAAGCCATCCCCCGTGCGAACGGACACGCGAAAGGAAGCCTCAAGGAGCAGAATAAATCCAAGTTGCCACAATCAAAACATTGCCAAAACACACCAGGACAACTCCACAAAGGGAAGGCATTTCCGGGAGCATCTCACACCCCCAGGATTAAGGATTCATGGCACCGGGCATTTTAGCTGCAGTTAATTTGCAAAGTGCTGCAAGCAGACAAGAAACCAGGGCACTATGAGACACCTTATCTCACCAGGTCCTAGCTGACCAGGCTGAGCCTTCCCCCAGTCTAGGGAGTCAACACGAGTGTATTCCAACCTTTCCTCTTTCCTCAAGGCAGCCTATGTATATTGATTTGTTTTGTTTTGTTTTTATGTATTTGAAGTATTTTGGATTCCAGCGAGGCACGAGGAGAGCAGCAAGGTGATGCAGAGCCCCCAAGCCACGGCAGGCAGGCAGCACCGCGCAGCCATGCAAGCGCCGCTCAGGCAGCCCGTTTTCTGGGGAAGGGATCTACAGCATCCACATCCACAACAGCAAGCGGGAGCTTCCAGGACGAGCCACAAGCCAATCATCCAAGTCTTGCAAAAGCTGGAGGGTGGCTCGGCGCAGACCCTCGGATCAGCCCGATGCGGGCACGACCAGGGGACACAGGCGAGGAGCACCAGGCACGTGGCACGTCACAGGCACCAAGGGCTCCTGGGAAAGGCAGGCATTGAACCAGAAGGCAGGTCCTGGAGGCCCCGGATGGGCTCCTCCACCAGCAGAAGGACCTTTCCTGGTTCAAGGTGCCCTCTCCGTGCGAGCAGGGCACGGCGACAGCACGCGGCACGCGGCCAGGTACTCACCGACATGGTCGAGTGGGCATCTGCGTCCCCCTGCGGAGGCCAACACAGGGAGTTTTGAGTCAAGAGTGCCAAGCCACAATGGGTTTACACCCAGCCTCGATATTAGATGTTCTCTGAGACCTTGGGCAAACCACCAGCCTCGGCGTTTCCACCTGCGAACCGGGTGCGAGGAGCCGCCGAACCTCCCCAAGAGGCAGTGGGGATGGAGCGGCAGCCAAACCTGCCGAGCTCCTTCCAGCAAAAGAGCCTTGGGTAAGCATGGACTGCACTTACTCAGACCTAAGCAGCACGATTTTGGGTGCTCAAGCTCTGGTTTTGGGCCAGTTTTGTTGCACGGGGGTTAAATGAGTGAGCGCCCCTTCCCATGCAGCCGAAGTCGTGGTTTGCCCAAAGCTTGGACTTTCAGTGTGTTTCTGCTTCTAGGCAGAGTTTTCCTCACTTTAAAACATTATGGAGGGACTTGGTGCTCGAAGAGAGAACTCCCGCAGGCGACTGCTGGCTGCAGAAGGAAAGCGGACGCTTTCCGAGCGCTCTCCAGCCGCGGGAGCCGCCGGACCATGGGATGCGGTGCGGGGAGCCCGGTGTGGCGTCCCAGGAAAGGCACCCGCAGCATCTACACAGCTCCAGCCAAAATCTGCTCCTGCTGACTGGCAAAAACGAGCACAAAAAGGGGAAAAAAAGGGAAAAATCACCCCTCTTTGCCAGGCTTCGCACCGGAGCGCTGGGGCCGGGTTTATGTGATCACTGAAGGATTGCTTCCCCGTCCCGGGTCGCCGTCACCTCCTGACCTCCCCTGATTACCTTGCAAAGGAGGTTATCGGGATACAAGCCTAGCAGAGGATTAAAGGAAACCTAAAATAAAAACACAGCCCACCCCTTTCTCCCCCCTCCCCAGGAAAACATCCTTGCTTTGTTAACCTGACAGCGCGCTCGAGGTGTTGACACAACCCTCCGTCGCTGCAAAGCTTAATGTCAACAGAGCAGCCTGTTCAGAGCAGCCCTGTCACTGCGATTTACATTAACTTGTCTAACGAGAAATAAAAACAACAAGCGGGCGGCCCAGCCAGCCGGCCCCTTTTAGTTTTTTTCAGGAGCGCTCGCAAAAGTGCAAGGCTAAAAAGGTGGATTTTGGAGGACACATCCCTTTTTTTGCAGAAAAGCAGCAGACCATCTCTTTTTTAAAAAAATATGTATATATATATAAAATACATATATAACAATTTAAAAATATTAAGAAAATAAGGCCCTAGAAGAGTGACTCCTGACGGTGCTGCTGCTTGGGAGGATGAAAATCCCTGGCATCACTGGGATGCAACGCGAAGCCTCCATAAACGCAGGGAAGAAGCCCCGAACTCCTCCTGTGCATCCCAGGGGCTGCACGGCGCTTCTCAGCGTGCGTGGACGTGCCCGGCGCCGGGCAGGTGCCCGGTTTGCTCGCTGCAATTACTGTCGTGACAGGAGGCGGGCCAGGCAGCTCCCTGCTGCTCCTGACTCACCTCCCGGGACTGCCATTCTGCGCTTCAAAGGAGGGGAAAAAAAACCTCCGGGGAGTTCAAACACTGGGGGATGTTCAGATGCTTCGGATGGTTTTTTTAATTGCACAAATTCAGCAAACATGAATGTCCCCAGTTACAGGCTCTCCTTTCCTTGCCTTTCTCAGGAAGCTCCCAGCACTTGCATATCCTCTGCCACTTGTATTTCATCCTCTTGCGAGAGGGTCTCTGCCCCCTCCAACCCCTCTTACTCTTTTCTTTTGCAAGGAAGCACATCCGATGTATCTCGTACTTTTCCAAAGAGCCCTCTCATGTCTCTGCCTCTCTTTAGACGGCTGTGGGCTTTCACAAGCCTCACTTCCCGCAGTTCCTTCAGAAAATTCCTAAGAATTGGAACTTGTTTCTGAATAACGCAAAGGAGAAAGGGCCTTGGAAGAACAAATCAGCAGAGCAGCCAAGGGAGTTGGTGACGTTCCTGTAGGGTCTGGTAGCCCTGACTCATCCTCACATCACGTTGCCTGCAGGGCGGGTAGGAACCTGCAAGCAACGTGTAACGAAGGTGTCTCCATAACGTTCCTTAAAAGAAAATAGCTCTGAGATATATATGTATCTCAAAAAAACCCAAAGAAACCAAAAATCACTGACCTACCTCCCCTACGAACAATTTAAGGCAGATCTGCAGCTTCACAGACCTGGTTGTAGGACCTGAGGAACTTCTCTGCTGGAGGATCAGCCTCGCACCAGGCTTGGAGCTAAGGTGCTCTGTGCAGGTGCAAATTCAGCAGCACCCACAGGGTGTCCGGCATCCGCACCGGGGCGAACTGCAAGACGACCTGCTCAGCCACCGGGTCACTTCCAACCCAGTTTTGGAAGAGCTGCGTTGATCTTTCTCTTTTTTTGAGGGGGGGGACCTAGTCGCTGCCTTCCCAATTTCCAAAATAATTTTGATTAATTCAGAAAGGAAGCATTAATATTGAAAGGAGATAAATCACCACGAGGCCATTTCACAAATCCCTGCGGGCCTGTCTGCCCTTCCCTATCACTCCACGCCAGTCGTGCTCCAGGGAGGAGCCTCCCCACCAGCCCCGAGCTCCATGGGACTTCGCTGAAGCCCCGAATGGACAACGCGGGGTTTCTCTCCATGCTGGGGGAGAGGGATGGAGCAAGAGACTGGCAGCATCTGCGCACCTGTGTGGCAAAAGGCAATGTACTCTGTGGTGCTTCTTGGGTGCCTCGGTCTCCGAGGACAACCCAAAGCACTTGGGTCACTTGGCCACTGTGTGACATCTAGCTAGGACACAGCAGGTCAAAGACTTGGCCATGGGAAACGGGCGCAGTCTAGGGGCTACGACACCTCCTACGATGGCTCTGATCAACACTGAGACATCCCCCGCAACAGGTCAACCACAAAGAGGAAAGCCAGGAGGGTGAAATGCAGGAGATGGCTGTCAAAGGAGTCTTCTCCTCAGAGCAAAGCTAGGGAATGGTGTCCCCAGGAGTGTGCTGGTACCCTATAATCCCAGGCATCCAGCAGAATCAACTGAGCAACAGTCCAGGGAAAAGGGAAGGCGCTAGAATTGCTTTTTTAAATACGTGTTATCAGTGGATTTGTCATTTCAAACACCTCTTGATTGAAGATACTCATATGCCCACAGAACTCAGAACAAACCATATGTATATACGTGTGTTTGAGCAAAAGTGAACCTGTTCTATCCCACTCAACAGGACTCACCTCCACTAACTGCAAAGAACAATATAAAATCCATTTAGCATTTGTAATAAACCCATAAAATGAAACTGTGTTTTAGATAGCAGGGAAAGGAAACAAGCACAAACAACTCAGAGCAACATCAGGCTTCCAGCAACACCACAAGCATTTGTAAATGCATCTGCAGCTGAGATAACGAGAAACAACCTATATCCTTATACTGGAAAGTTTTGAACTAATTACTGATTGGAGGAAGCTGCAGGTTAACATATGCAGAAGGTAGGTGCTGAGTGAATGATGACCCTGTTTCTAAGTGGTAGACTGGGATATTTCAGTCTTTCACACCTATGGAGGCCTTAAAAATACCTGTGAAGACTCTTGTTTGACGCCTGATTTCTCATGTCACACAGAACGGCTTGCTTGGAAGACAGATCTGCTCTGTCCTTGACACTTCACTCTATAAGGTGCCACTTGCACCACAGCCCACCAAGCCCGTGAGGAGCACAGAGCCAGCCCAGGGCCGCTTACCGGGAGGTGGGTGAACACGGCGAACGTGCTGCGCAGGAAGCCGATGAGATCCACCAGGTAGTCACTGGCTTTGCTGCCCGCTTCCATGGCCATCCAGTCGTAATCGGCCAGCTGCACGAACTGGTCTATCTTCTGATTCAGGTTAGTGTAAATCTCTTCCTCTGCGGCATGGCGAGCATCCTAGGAAACAAGGCAACATTATATGGAGTTTCAGCTGTGCAGGACTGAATATACGCTGAGGAAATCGCAGCACATGGGACTGACTCAGTCCTTTCCATTAAGGTAGCTCAAGGCAAGACATTGGAGATATTCCAAAGCCACTGGGATAAAGCTGTGGGCAATGGGCTCTAAGTGACCCTACTTGAGCGACTGAGTTGGACTAGATGGTCTCAAGAGTCCCTTCCAACCTCAACCATTCCAGGATTTGGCAAAGATGCTCCTAGACAACTTGGGGCTTATCACAGCCCTCCAGGTCCTGCCAGGTCAGAGATGGCCAAGCTCAGCTTGGCCAAGCAGGACCTGGAGAGCAGGAGGACAAATGGAGGGTGGAAAGTGAGAGACCAGGAAGGGAATTTCCCATATGGAGAATGGCTGAGATTCACCAAAGAGCGGTGGAGATGGGACCCAAGCCCCAGGCTAAGGAGCTCTCTGTGAACAAGGCTAGGCACAGCTCTCCCCAACACAGACGCTGGGCTAAGCAGAGGGTCTCTGTCTTGCATCTGTTTTGTCCTTTATTTTCCACTCTCCTGGATGAAGAGGACACCAGAACTGAATTATTCCCAGCAAGCCCCTCTATCCATGGGGCAAACCTCACCTAACCAACTCCCCACCATCCCCTGGCTTTGGCACTTTTCCTATTGTCTGCCCTCTGGCCACAGGACAAAATTCAGACACTGCTGCACACTCTACCAACAGATACTCTCCAACAGCGTTTGTGCAGCAGCTGCCTGCGGGTTGCATGTCCAAGATCTCTCACCTTGAAGGTTGTGGTCCCATAGAGCTTCGTGGTGTGGACAGTTTCTGGAAGTACATTAGTGATATTGGTTATGAATTCCTCTAGAAACTTGCAGGATTTCTCCAAATGGGTTGTGTTAATAATAATCTGTACAAGCTGCAAATAAATAAATAAATAAAATAATGTAGTCAAACACTGTTTGTGCTCCTGAAGCCAGGGACATGCCAGATTAAGGCAGGCCAATTCATAAGAACTTCGGCATGAAAAGCTGACACTGTACAAACATACTATGCTCTGCTACACTCTAAGAAAGGCTGTCCTCCTTTAACAGCATAAGAACCTTAAATGAAAGATAACATTTTGGAAAAAAAAAAAGCATTTCCCATGACAGCCACTAATACCACAAAAGATTTTCTTTAGCTGAGTTTCCTATATTCAGCCGTCAATCAGTGCTCATTTCAGTGCAGCTCAAACACAAGCGGCTTACAGAGAAAAATGCCATGTCACATCACAGCACTCTGCGGGCTACTGAACCCTGAATAACCTGGATCTTGAGTGACACCGAACAACATCGCGCTGGGGCACTTCACAAAGGAACCACAAGGCAGCTCGGTGGCAATTACAAAGTGGTTTTACTTTCCTGAGGGTGGTGTGGGTGAGCAGCAGGGCTCACCCCGGTATCGGGGAGGTTATCATACCCCCATTAGCTGCACTTTTCTGTACGCTGTCTTCTCAGCTTCCTTCACATGGCATCATTAATTCCTTGCGCAGATACCTTTTATTCCCCAGGCAGACTGCTGTGAATATTTCGGGGTGTAATATAAGCTATGACAAAACCATTCCAACTAATTTCTAGATCAGATATCATGCCGAAATCGCTCTCTTACGATCACAAAAGGTATTAATGTCAATGCTCCAGAGTGACACAACTTAACTGCTGACCGGGGGGATGGTGGTCTGTAACACCTCATCCACAGAAAGGACTTTGAAGTACTCAGAAATCATTTGCTTCCAAATTAGATGGAAACTGCCAACTCCCATGCAGCCAGAATGTCATTTCTTTGCTCTTTTTGCCCATTTGATCCTGTTACATTCCAGTACTTGAGTGCAGCAGTCACACAAACCCTGCAATAAAGCTACACAGTTGCAGAGGAGCCCAGCTCTTGGTAGTGCCAGACGACATAAGCAGGGGAAATGGCCACAGGTTGGGAGATTTGGCTTGGACTTTGCAAACAACAAGAAAGATGTTAGGAAGGTGGTGCAGCCCTGGAAGAGCTTGCCAAGAGAAGCTGCGGGATATATATTTTGGAGAAACTAAAGGAGCTAGAGAATAACTCTTGGACTGGAGACCTCCAGAGGTCCCTTCTCACCAAGGCTTCTCCTATTCCAGTCAGTCCTTCTTCTAAGGAGATAAATTATGGTTTATCATAGAATCATAGAATGCTTAAGGTTGGAAGAGACCTCTAGAGCTCATCTAGTCCAACCCCCCTGCACACACAGGGTCACCTAGAGCACGTGGCACAGGACTGCGTCCAAGCGGGTTTTGAAGATCTCCAGAGAAGGAGACTCCACAACCTCTCTGGGCAGCCTGTTCCAGTGCTCTGTCACCCTCACTGTTAAGAAATTTTTCCTTAAGTTCCTATGGAATTTTTGGTGTTTCAGTTTGAGCTCTGTTTGTTTTGTACTTGGGCTCTGAATAGTATTACACAGGTAACTAAGAGGGTTTCTCATTTTGATACTTCTTGGATCAATTCTGCTCCTGATTTCTGCCTTCACATCAGAGGTTATTTGTTGGTCCTCGTGATTTTGTGCACCACTTTGCCAGTCCAGCAAGCAAGGCTTATATGAACCAGTCTCTTCTTAAATTGGGTAGGCAATTCCTCCTGCCAATGGACCATTTTGGAAGACCAAAATGTCAGAGGTCTAACTGCTTTCACTTTATGCCAGGGTTTCTACTGAGCAAGAACTCCCCAATAAATACATCTTGACCAGCTTTTGTCTGGATCGGGCATCAACAGGTAGCAGCTTTCTGATGTAGCTCGTCAGACAGCCTTGACATTGGGACTGTCCAGTTTCAGCTTCATTAAATGTTAGATATTGCCAGCTGTGCGACCTTCCTCCTAAACCTCTTTTACAATCATCACAACCTGCAGGTTGAGATCAGCTGCCAAACTTGAAGGCACAAATTGAAACACAGAAAATTGCACTTGACTCTAGGAAAACACTTCACTATAACGATGGCTGACCAGGTTGTCCAGAGAGTTTGTGGAGTCTCCATCCTTGGAGCCCTCCAAACCCCAGCCGGATACAGTGCTGGGCAGGCTGCTCTAGGTGACCTCCTCGAGCAGGGCAGGAGGACCAGACCATCTCCAGAGGTCCCTGCCAGCCCCAAGAAGGCTGAAGTCCTGCGAGTGTTTTGGCTCTCTTCCACCACATGTCACGAGCTGTCCCTCTCCGGCTCCTTCATGTTCTGATCTTCAATTCAGAGGGCGGGGGAGGAAGAACCTTGTTGAGGTCTCCGAGGGAAACAAAATAGTAGCTTCCTTCCCCTCCCTTCTGTTGACAGAGGGTCATTCAAAATGTGGAGAGTGCAATTTGCTGCCCTGGTGGAAGCTCTTCGCTTCACTGAAATTTATTTCTTCCCTAGCAAGAGCCCTGCTTTCTGCAATGCTTTTAATCACTTGACAACAATCCCTGATGGCTAATTCCAAGCCACTGGGTACAAATTTGGTGGTTTCAGCACAGATGCTGTGCTTACTTTTATGCAATTATGAATTCACAGATCAGAGAGTGGCCTTGGTATCTTTACCAGCACATGTCCCCGCACCCTGCCCAATCTTCCTTCCTTCCCAGTTAAGCAAACAAGCACTCGGGGTGAGATATCTCAATGGCTCTAGGTCAGAAACCCACTTTCCCTTTGTTTTCTTTTCCCCTTTTTGGATGGGTCACTGCAGACAAGCAGGACAAACACTGGAACTATTTGGAGCAGAACTGGTAACAACTTCCAACATTCGCTGCTTGAGACAGCCCAAAATGACAGCAATGAAAAGTGGATTAAAGAGGGTAACAGACTGGTAAGGTTGGTACCTCGTCCACTGCTTGGAAGAAGATCCTGGAGCACCCAGGAGAGGTTAGGGCTGCCTTCTGCAAGAAGTTACATATTTCTCCGGGAAGTGATATTTATGCAAGACACTTAAATGCCTTTGGAATCCCTTTGCCAACAGGACTGCACTTGCATTTGATCTAGGACTCCTCAGTGCGTCCTCTAGTCCTTGTGCTCCGTGAAGCCACATCGTTCTGTGATTCTGTGTGTGATCATTTTCTAATATTTTTATTTAAGAGAGCGAAGGCTTTGAGAAACTCAGAGGAGGAAACTCTGTGTGAGGAATCACACTCTGTGTGATTTCATTTGGATGCACAGATCACTGGTTATGTGAGAAAGGAAAGAAGCAGGAGGGAACTGAGGCACGAATACTATTTTTCCTTAAATCCAATTAGAAAAGAAATGATGGTATTTCAGTATAACAGCGGGAGAAGTCACCCACACACTAGTAGCATCGTGGTATGTGGAGAGGACGGGAGGAGCCAGGGATAGCGTTGCATTCCTTTTTCTTCCTTTTTGGAAAGAGGCTCAGGAGAAGGAGGAGGAATTTGCCCCCAAGGAGCGAAGAAATGCCAGACAGCACGAGAAAGGTCTGAGGAAACGTCATGTGTCAACAGCTACTGCCACAACCGCCCTGAACACTCTGAAACTCACCTGCACAGGGCATTTGCAGAGATCACCACAGGTTTAGGCAATTACAGCTTCACTACTGCAACTGCATTAATAAATGCTCACTTAATAACAGCGCACAGAGGCCCCAGCAAGGCATCCAAAGAGGCTTGTGAGTCACAAACGTGCCCCAATAGTCACGATTTACCTGCATGAGGCTTACCAGAAACCTGAGCTTGTGCACAGGAAAAATAACAATCTCAAAACTCAAATATCAACATAGAGCTTTTGCCGAAACCACTGTGAGGATCATCTTTGGATAGGACCAACCCCCGCCCTACCAATCCTCTTAAAACTCCCACTTTTCTCCAGCACAAAACTGCCCTGGCGCTTCCTGGCATCCTCCTACCTGCCACTTCATTTCAGGGAAATAAGGCACAAAAAAATGAAAAATAAGGGAAAATCCTGACATCCACTGCCAAAAAGCTTCCTCTTTCCCCACACTCAAGGTGTTTCCTCACACAGGAATACCGTTGAGTTCCCTTGCTGCTTTCAAACCATTTTTCAGCCTGGCTCCAGACTAACATCTTTAGGAGGTGTTGCAATGCGTTCAAGGGGAGCAAACTTTGCCGGGACCGGCAGCGCTCGGCGCGCAGCCAGGCCTCACCTCGGTCAGCCCCACGTTCTTCCTCTTAATGACGTTCTGCAGAGAGTTGCTCAGCGTCCGCGTCAGCAGCAGGTTTGTGGATTTTCTGATCATGTCATCAACTTCGGTGGAGCTGGAAAGGCAGAATTGAAGAGGAGGTTGGCAAAGGGCTTTAACCCAAAGCAGAAAAAGGCCAAGTGCCTGAAGCCCTCCTGACCCGCTGCCCATGTGCTAATAGATTAGCTCTATTCCCACCTTTTCATACATGCTTAAGTTTTGCTGATCATAAATGCACGCTGCAAGGGATCGTAAGTCTGCCTTGAAAACGAAACAGAAAACTCCCTCATCTTTCAAAAAAAAAAAAAACAACCCTGTACCACACATTGTTTTACTAAATCAGACTTGCAGACTCCTATAGGACATAAGTGGCTTTCGCCAGACAGTTGTGACTTCGGTATTGCTGCAGGCTAGGGGTTTGGTTTTCTTTTATTTTTGATGTTTTCATAGATAAAGGCTGTTAGAGGAGCTGGTATTTGCAAAGCAAAATTTGCAAAGGGTACTTGCCCTGCACACGCGTACGTGCCAGAAGGTGTAACCTCTCCTTGGGGCGCGAGCTTTGGAAAGCAACCGGCACGCAGGCTGCTTTGCTCTGGCTGCCACCTTTTTTCTGGATGTTTTACTGCAGTTGGGGCTCTCGGACAAGGTTTTTCCAACGCGCCCCCCTACACATTTATATGGAACGTCCTGGCCTTCCAGCAGCTCCCAGGAAGAACCCGGCCGTCCCAAGGGCTTTGCCACCAGACAAGAGCACTGTTTAATATAGCAAAGCATAATAAAAATCAAACCCTGTGAAAGCCTGGGAATAGTATTTATTTCTTTATTTCTTTTCTTTTTTGCAAGGAACTGTTTCAAGCCATGTGCAGGTCCAAAGGGCCCCCACAACGGCCCCGCGTGGCCACCGCGAGCTGGGGGACAAGAAGGGCTGCAAGGGAAGAGGGAAAAAAGAAAAAAAAAGAAAGAAAAAAGCAGCACTGCATTTCTCTATGCACTCTGTCCCCTGTGTGAACCGTACCAGGAAGCCAGGGAAGCCGCCACGCAGGAACTCGGGCAATCCGTCTCCAAGGATTTGGGAAGTGCTGCGGCCACCGGCTCGCCCGGGCACAGAGCAAAGGTTGGGAAGCAAAAGCTGGAGCTCAGCGCTCCGGGCACTAAAACAAAACCATTTTTCTATCTGACTTAGCAATATTTTGCATGCAAGCTGCTCACCTTATATGTCTTAAGTGAATTAATCCCTGCTATTGACACCAGGTTTCGACCTGCAACCACAAACGACTAGTAACAAAACACCACAAACATTTGGTGCCAAATAAATCTCATCCATCGGGATGTCTCTGTGTGGCTGCTTTAGGTGGACAACCTTGGATTATTATTATTAATTTTTTTTAAAGACTTTAAGCACCCAAGTGATTTTCAGTATGCTACCAGTTGTGCACCAAATGCTGTTGCGCTTGGTGCTTTGTTTGAAAAAAGAAAAAATATATATATCAAAGTCCTCATAGATTAGAGTTGACATCTCATACTTCCACCAACTGTTTCCCAAAGATATCTCCTATCTTGAAAACGGGAAGTTCAACCGGAATGGGGGGAAGTTTTCCAGCCAGTGGATGCTTTTAAAGACAGCTCCTCAATGAGGCAGCATATAAGATTTTTTTTTCCAATGGAGAAATGCTTAAAATATAAAGGAGGTTTTCTTTCTCCTAATCAAACTCATAGAACCACACCAAAAAAACTGCAACCCTGAACAGATGCCCTGCAAGCCATGACATTTCTTTAAATACATAAAAAGCAAAGCACCTTGCCCAAGCATATCCATCCAAAGGAAAATATTTCATGCAGCAAATTCAAGGAGTTGGTTTAGAAAAAACATTTTAAAATAATAATAAAAAAACTCTGTGTTTTGTGCTCTCGGCTCTGAGTATTTAAGAGAACTGTCTGCGTTAATGACAGCCGTGTCCCACATCCCCTAGCAGCAGTCGTGACCTTCAGGCCTCCTGTGAGTGACAGGCTGACCCCGGGCTCTCCAGGGTGCAAGGTAAATGACAACCCACAAGAAAAAGAAAGAGAAGAGAAAGAAAAGTTGCTGCCGGCTTTGTAGCCAGAGCTTCCTAATAAAAACTAATTCAAACTGTCAGGGTGAAATGAAGAAAGTGTCAACAGGGGTTTTCAGAGAAATATTCCAAATGTTTGGCTGGCAAACCCAGCAGCTCAGCTCCCTGCCCCCAGCTGCCCCTCCAAAAGGGCTGGAAAATCCAATGTTGAAAGGAATTTTAATGGCTTGTCCCAGGGGACCCCAGCGGAGGCACCCGAAGGGACGTTCAGCTTCCCTGCCCGGACAAACCCCATAATCCCCGGGATGTCAAAGAGCTCCGAGCTCGCGCGGGAAGCGCCAGCAGAGCTGCTGGGGAAGCCCAGCATCCCTGTGAGCGATATAGGGCCCTTCTGCTCTCCTTTGAAACCTGGGCACTTCGTGGTGACCAAGAGCCTTGGGACCCACCAAAGGGAACAAGTTGCTACCAGGGAGCGGGTGAGATCCAGCTTGGTGATGGATGGGGCAAACGTCCTATGCTTCTCAACCAAGGAGCACGAGTACTGGGGCAACATGCAGCTTCAGGCCGTGCACAAAGCTCCAAGGAAGGGGAAAGCCCTTGTACAGCCCAAGTGCTTCCAGCTGGGAGCCACGAGCCCTCAGACGGGGTGAAGGACAGCCAGGTTCATGAGCACAAATTACTCCAAAATATCCTGGGGGGAACAGCCCCTACTTTTTCTACAAACCATGACTCCATCTCTGCAATGAGACGTACTTTGAAGACTTGGCAAGCTCTTGTCATTGCCAAAGGTGCCATTGCTCCAAGGATGACATCCCCTCCAGCCAGGAAAGGAGATACCAGGCCACTCAGCAGCACAGCAGCTTGGGGAGGGGGACCTGCACTCGACTTATCCCAGATTTTTTGGCACAGGAAGAGTGCTGGAGCTATTGGGCTAGAACCCGAGCACAAACCCATACCTCAGGTGCAGGTCCTCGGAGAACTTCAGGCAAGCGTAGATGAACTCCTTAATCTGATTGTAAACCTTAGGCACAAACTCGGAGAAGGGGAACTTCTTTGGAAATGGCTGCTGTAAAACAGAGGAGACCCAAGGTGAGCGGAGGAGTCGACCTGCAGGAGGGGACAGCCCCGAGGCACGACCGCTGCCAGCCACATGTCCCAAGCAGCCGACTCGATTCGAGTATTTAGCCGAGTCCAGCAATGCAACAACACGCCAGCATTTATTGTATATTAGATAAACATTTCAGCCAAGTGAGAGACCAGATAATCACTTACAAATGGCCCCGTGGTGTGTAAGGGATTTGGGCTGGAAGGGAACTTGCAGCTAGAAAGGAGCAGGCAGAAGAAAGCTATTTCTCATCCCCACTCCCTTATCCTTATTAAAACAAGTGAAAAACAAACAAAATAAACCCTCCGCTGGGCTTCTTCACTTTTCTTTCCCACCGTGCCCCAGGTATTTTGCTCAGCCACCTCCCATGGTTAATGCCCAAGGTGGGCGCGAGGCTCCAACACCCAAAGCCAAGAGGAAACAGATATCCCATCACCTGAGCCCAGATCCAAGGAGCCCTAACAGTTTTTTAGAAGGATTTTGGCTTGCCTTTTTTTTAAAAAAAAAAAAAAAAAAAAGTCTAAACACTTAACTTGGACCGAAAAGCTCCCTTTCCTAATTAAGTTCACCAGGCTTGGAGCTCCCTGCTGCCAGATGCGGAGCACAAGGCCAAGCATGCTTTTAAGGGACACTGTCTAGGTCAAATTTGGCTACACTCTCAGGTTTTGCAAGCACACGTTTTTACAAAAGCCAAGATATACTGTTTTGCTGGACCTTTTTTTTTTTTTAATATGAGCGATTAAAATAAATCAAGGTCAGTAAGATGGCTGATAAAACAGACACTGTGAGCTGAAAAGAAAATCAATGAGGTATCAGTACGCACACTGCCCTCTGCCCAGTGAGAGAAACACAACACAGGGAGAGGATATTTGTTCTTTTCTCTTTTTTTAAAGACCCCTTTATTTTTAAGGGCTCTCAATGCTGACAGCAAGGGACCTTTGGAATCGAGCTGCCCAGGCTTCCCACTTTCCAGGTTACCTTTTCGAGCTCAGCATCCTGGAATGGGAACTGTCCAACTATTTTCTTATAAATCTCTTCATTTGTTACCGGGATGGGGCTGTAGTTATCCAAATCAAGTATATTTCTAAAAAACAAAAGAAAGAAAAAAAGAGACAGCTACAGCAGCACTTCTTGCACTCGACAACCTCTCTATCAATATTCACTTTGACAGAAAAGCCACCGCTCTGTGAGCGGCACCAACCCCAGTTCTACCCCTTTCCAGCTGCTCAGGGGACCCAGCTCTCCAGCAAGAGGTGCCAGGTAAAGATTTCATCTCCAGCAGCAAATCCCATGGGCCTAAGGCTTCTCCCCACATGTGTGAGAGCTGACAGTGTCTTTGCTGGAGCCATATGCCATGGTGTCTCCAAGCTCTCTGCCTTCAGTCCATACAAAACCCCTCGCCATGGTTCACCAGTGCTTTCACAAGCTTTTCACACAAGCTCTTCAGGTCCATCCTCCTATCAACTGCTGGAGGGGGATTCATAATGATCCACCATGTAAAGGGCTTGGCACGCACAGATTTATTGCATGCGTGATCCTCACACGTGAATTTAAGTGGGATTTCTCAGGTTCAAGGAGAGCCCACGCAAAGATCAACAGTGCCCAACATCAGACATGAGTTTGCCACTAATCTCTCTTAAAAGAGCGATTTTATTTACAGTCTAAATTTCCTTTGCAAGGGAAGTCTCATGAGGACACTGGTTTGCTGGAAGGGCTTCATACCTGAAAACTCCCGACCATTTCTTAAGCAGCGTTTCGCTGTACTGGTCTCGGATTTCCAACAGCATGTCGAAGAGCTGGTTCACTGGGAAGCCGTATCCCTGTTGGTGGGAAAGAGAGCTATCAACTGGGACAAGGAAAAGGTCACCAAGAATAAATTAAATATCATTTTCTGCCTTAAAAAGGGAGGATGTGAGCAAACACAACCCGTTACACAACCACGGCTGCACACCGCAGCTCACGGAGAAGATTAACGAGCAAGATTAACAGCAGCTGTCCACAGCCACATACCTGGAGTGTGTCTGCAAAGAGGACGATGAGGTTCTTCAAGTCCAACACCAAGCTTGGGTCGGAGCAGTAGGACTGCAGAAAGAGGGGGAAATGTAAGCATCTTTGAGCTCCAACGCAGTCAGATACATCTTCAAACCGCAACCAAGATCGCCCATCACGCTGGGCACGACCACGGCGTGAGCAGACAACCTCGCCACGGTGAAACACGTAAAGTTTTGGACAGACTCTTACCAAATTTAGACTCAGTGATCATAAGCTGGAAAAGAAAACTGAGATTTAAAGCTCGCTGGAAACGCAAGGAGGAATGACTCCATTAATCAACGCAAACGACTGGAAGAGACACTTTTTCCATTTCCCTGTCCAAAAAAAAAAAGTCAGAAAGAAAGATAATGCCCTAAAGCTATCAGAAGTGATAAAAGATGTCCCAGGCCTACAGGCAAGGTAGAAAATCCAGGCATGGGAGCGTGCCTGGGTGGAAAGAGGCAGAAGAGCCTTGCCAAGGCCAGAGCAAACAGGGCACGGGCAGCACGGCCCCGTTGAGGGGTTGGGGATTGCACGGTCAGCGTGACGGCCACGGGAACAGTGTTGGGAAATTGTGCAAAACGCCACGATTCCCAGGAAAAAAAAAAGTCTTCTCCTGGCAACCACTTCAGATACTAAGTTTGGCATCACTTAAAACAACTTGTCAAGACAACGGAGTTGGTAAAAGTGAAAAAATTCAGTGTTTGTACACATTCTACTCTCATGGCTTGCAGACTAGCAGAAAGCCTCCAACTGGAGATAAAAACACACCTAAAAACAGCTTTACAGCAGAGCTGCTGAGCAACGTCGCCAAGAGACGTGAACCGGCGGGGAGGAGCGCAGCGACGAGAGGCACCGGGCGGCCAGGAGGACGCGGAGCCTCCGCATCCAGTCCCAGGGTTTTCTCCGAATTGCGCGAGGGAGAAGAGCTGGAAAACGTTAATGCTAATGGGAGTGTTAATGCAAGAGCTCTCAGCTCTCAGAGCACACAAAATGAGAAGAGAGCTGGGCTGGTTTTTGCATTGGCTTGGGTTTTTTTTTTTTTTTGCTCAAGCAGAAAAATAACAGTGATAAGTCTTTGTTGTTGTTTTTTTTTTACAAACTTTCATTATTCTTGAGTAAAGAAATCTATTTCCTGTCATCTTAAGCATATACTTTTTGTAGTCTGACAGTATCCCATCGTTGCCATTAACTCTGAGATCACAGTATCAAAAAGGCTCATGCTTCAGTGTGCCAAATACGGGCTTTTTCCTCCCCAGTTTTACAGGACAAACTGTCTCCCTCTGCTGGTGCAACTCCTAAGTGATCAACCAAACAACAGAAAACACCCAATCACTCTTTTATAATTTCCAGTCCATCCCCACAAATGGAAGTTTGGTCAAAGGAAACACAGCACACAGAGTCGAGAAAGCTGGAGGTTCCTTCTGGACAACAGCCGTCTGTCTTCACTTTACTGGGTTTAAAAAAATCACAGACAGGGAGGCCAAACAAAGAATGCTCCTGTGAAAAGCATGTCAAAGCATCCTCAAGCAACAGCCGAGCACCCCGCGCCCTTCACTTACCGAGTGCGTCCTCAGCGCCGCAATCGTTTTGGATAAAGCCATCTCCCACAGCTCATCAATATAGGCTCTGTTTACCAAGCCCTGGGTCGTATGCAAGATGTGATCTTCAACTACAAAAAACCTGGTGGGAAGGAGAAACCAGCAGGGCTGTCAAGAGTTTGGAGGTTGCAAAGCCTCAGCAGACACTGCATGCCCCGGACGTGCAGAATTTGCCCGTGCAGAAGTCTCCGGAGCAAGCTCAGGTTTGCAGGATTACCTGCCCTGGATATAACCAATGCTAAACATGTTTATTCACACTCATTTTCAACACTACAGGATTTGACATTAAGCTTCGCTGTATTACACAAATGAGCTGCAAGACTCATTTGAGAGCTCCTAATGATGCAACTCCGTATATGCACAAAAGCAGAATTTTGCCTTTTGAAATCTTCCATCCCGTTATTTAGAAGAAGACTGCTAATTAAATCCTATCCTGGCTGGCAGCAATCGCATTGCAACTGGTTAACTGCAGGGAAAATACTCTGGAGCGCCTGGATGCACCACACACTCACGCACATTTAAAGGCAACCAATTCACTCCAATCTCCAGTTAAATGTATTGATACAAAAGAAACAATCTGGCTTCGTCAGGACCAAGCATCACACAATACGTTTTAACATATGGCAATGCACAAAACTAAAGCTGTTTTTAGGGGAAATCCAGCCAACAAGTGCAGAGCCATGCTAGAAGGACAGCAGCATGTCCCACGCTCATGATTACTGCTATACATGGACAATTTAACAGCGATCTCAGCTGAATTTGCCTACCCTCTCTTTGCATTAGGGTCTTAAGCTCCCCTTGCTTAGCCATCAGGAAGACTCTTGTCAAATCAGACTGCAGAAAGAGAGGCTGGATATTGGCTTTAGATTTGCCCCCTATATAGCAGGAAAGTTATCCAATATCATCTGATATTACAGAATCCTAGGCCGGGGGACTATTCATTGCATTATCAGAGCAAGTAGCTGCACATGGTCCACAAAGTTTATTTATCCCAAGTTTTTGGAAACACAGAGTGCATGGACCGGTCCCAAAGCACTTGCCCTAGTGACACAGCCAAGCTTTCTGGCACTATAAAATAAAATATACCTCTACTTGCAAATGCTGAAGGAGTCCTGACTGAATTTGTCCTGCTTTGCCTCCTTTAAAGGACTATCCAAAAAAAGCCACGCCATGTCTTCCTCTTTGTTTTTTCTTTCTGGGCCATTCAACAACCCCGGGCGCACACATTTAGCGAGCGTGTATATAAAAAGAGTACCTACCCTACAATTTGATTAAAATACTTCCTGTAGCCGTCTAGCGTTTCGTGCTGCAACAAAGCAGAAGTGAGCGGGGATTAACACAAAGGCGGCCGCCGGAATCGGAACCAACCCTGCGGCCACCCGAGGCGCCGCAGCAGCACCGAGACCTCGCGGCGCCCTCATACCATGTTGGAAGGAGGCTGTAGGACCAGGCGAGCTTGTTTTCTCCGCTGCTTCCTGTAGTAGTTCTCAAAGGTCTCACGGGCTCCCTGGAAAACAGAAGGAACTCAATTCAAGCCACCAGCCTTTGGGCTCATCCAGCCCCCTTTCGCATGGAAACTGCCATGTTTAAGACGCCAAGTGCCATCTCTTCCTGCCCATCTGTGTCATGCTTGTTTACTTGATGATCTTGAAGGTCTTTTCCGACCATAACGACTCTATGATTCTGTGCTTTCCTATAAAACTTGGTCCAAATACCTGATGACTGAGAGTTTTACTCCAGGCACTGAATCAAGCAACAGGTTACTGAGATACCCGAGGATCTGGTGAGCTCCTCCGTATTCACCCTCCAGCACCCCTGGGCACATGTGGTCGTGCAGCGATGGAGGACCAGCTTCTTCACCGCACCATAACGTGAAAACCCATCTGATCTTGCTCACTCAACCCTGGGGACAGTGAACCCACCAAATTGCTGGTGTTAGCAAAAAGAGGGCCCAACCGATGCCAAAAAGCAGCAGAAATCCCTACATGGAGACACAGGTGAGGCAGTGCCGTTACAGCCACAACAGTTGAAGGATTTAAGAAATAGAAGTGGTTGGTAGTGTTATTTTGTAGGTGGCTTCCTTTACCAAGCCAGCCTAGATCTGAGCATCCCCACCCAGGCAGCACAATAAAACTGCAAAGATCCTCAGATGCCATCAACCTGATGAGCCGTCCCGTCCCGACCTTCAGCTACCGCCCAGGTCCCCTAGGCTATGTAAAACCCGGCTGTTTCATCCTTGCCTATTCCTTCCTCCCCCACACCCCTATTGTTTTTATGTCTGAAATTGGATTAGAAACACTTCAGAGAAGGGACACCGGCTTGCTTTGAACTGGCGAGCGCCAAAAATCTCGTTTGGAATTCGCAAAACAAACAAAACGTAACAACAAATATCACCTGCCTGAGAAAGACACCAGACTTTAACCTTTTCTACTAAAGAAAGAAAGAAAAAGGGTAATTTAATGACCCTCCTACACCCATTACTTGAGTTGTCTGCCTTAAAGGGTCTTGGGAAATTAATGTGATTACCTTTATGGAGCTTCAGCCCAACTTGCTCCCTTCCTTCCTTCTGCAACTAGGGCTCCAGGTGTGAGAAGATCCACTGATCTTCTACCCCCTTCTTCAAGTGACTGTCCCTGGTCCCAAACTCACTTTTTGTGAAGGACAAAGTCCCCATTCAGTGACCTCAAACAAAGGTACAAGGATGCTCCAGCTGGAGCAATACAAGAAATACAATTCCCCAATAACTTTGGGAAGCTTGCAGTGTCCCTCCAAAAGACAACTCCAAGAGGAACTGGTCCTGTTTCTAGGTTCTGCAGCAAGGCTCTCTGATGAGTAAAGCCTGCTTTTCTAGAACTAAATATGAATCTTTTTCACAGGATCCGCAAGTCTCCTTTCACAGGCTTGGAAACAGCATTTCACGGGACCCTCGTGCTACCCTTCCCCTCCGAGTCTTGACAACACAACTGGAGAACCAAGAACCGGAGAACCAGGTTATCCCTTTCCCAGCGATGTCATAAACCTTGCTGTGCCTCATCTCTCAAAAAAAAACCCCAAAAACCCCTCTTGGAAAAGCAACTCCTGGCTTGATTCCAGGGATGGACAGCCCCAGCTAAGGCGAGAGCACACGGAGCTCAACCCAACCTCCAGCACGGGACATCCACATGTGACTCAGCCACCCTCAAACCAGCCACCGTCATTAACAAAACTGCACCCAAGTCCCTAGGTAAATAACTGCCCTTTACTGAGCAAGCTGCCATCTCATCTAACAAAACACTGGGGATAAGCTGCAAGCTACACTTGCTTTGAAAATGTTTTTTATTGATGGCTTTGATGAAGATGAAGCATTTGGCTCCACTTTACAAAGCTCTCTGCGAATTGACCAAATTTGGGACTCATTTTCAGATGAAAAATGTTTTCTACTGTAAGCAAACGTGATATGAACTCAGCTCAAGATATCGTGTTAGAAATTTACTATAAACCAGCTCTGCACTTTGGAGCAAAGCCTCTTCATTCCCATAGGATGATCCTTAGAAAACTTTGAGGCTGGAACTTCCTTGTTTCAGTAAGACAAAGAGCTTGAACAGCACGAGAGGAGAAGACCTAAAGGGAGAAGAAGATCCAAGAACTTTTAAAGCATTCCTCCCAAAACGTACCCTATCTTCACATTTTAATAGATTCCCTAATGTCTAAGGCCAAGAGACCTGCTGATTTGACCGAAACCATCACCCTCCCAATGCTACTGTTCTCTATTTTTCCTTTCTTGAGCAGATTTTAAATGTCTCAAACACTGCAATGAACAAATATCCCTCATCCCCAATATTCTCTCTTGATGCTTCCCATGTTTTCATTATGCACAACCACATCATTTTCTCTGAAGTCCATTCCCCCATCATCCTCCTAGACTTTCTTACTGGTCAGGTATTATATTCTCCTAGGAATGGGAAGTTCTCTTTCTCCTTGGTGGCAGTTTCAGCTAGACCACTCAGTTTCACGCATTTGATCTATTTAAGGCCATTCAACTTATCAGGTTCAGAAAGTAGTCTCCTTCTTCTGTGTACTCTACTTTGTTAATATCATTTTCCTTTGTGTTAAGAAAAAAAAAGAAAAAAGAAAAACAAACAAACAAGCAAAAAGAAGCCACGCCAAAATCCATCCAGAACATGCGGTTGCAAGACCCCATGTTTTATAGGTTGCTCATCTAGACACACCAAACAGGATTTCTACTTAGATCCTGTTCTCCTCTCACACCTCATGCATGGTGGTTATTCACATTGAAGTGGTTATTCACATTAACCAGCACTGTCAATACCTTTTTTTCAGATCTGAGCACACACGTGCCCTGCCCATGGTTGCTGTGTCCTCTCAGTGGGAACCAAGCCAACCTTTTCCCCGTTATGCTCTTAAAAGCAACTATCTAAAAAGAAAAAGATGTGATGCACCTGCAACATCTTGTTGTTGTAAACTAATTTCATAGTCCATATGCAGTTTTTAAGAGGATCACAGTAGCCCTGACAGCTGTGACAACCTGGGAAATAAGACTGGAAGGAGCAACTCCCAGCTCTGGCCTTCCACTGCTGTCCCACCTCAGCATGGTCTATAGTTAGTCCTCAGACAGAAACCCAATGCTGGTTATAAGTGTCTTAGAAAGGCAGAGTCCTTGTTCCTTCAGAGCTTCCTGTAGCTGGGGGAAAGGCTGTAGCCTTCCCCTGTAACTGGGGGAAAGCAGGTAAGCAGGAGAAAGGAGGAGGTTCCTCACTTATCCATCAATTTAATAGGAACAGGTTTCACCCCAGTTCTCAACCCAGGCTACTTAAGCAAGGAGGAAGACTCCAAAGCTACACTTCCAAATTACACATTTATTGTAATCACTGGTCCAGGAAAAACCCTCCATAACGCCTCATATTTTTAAAATTACCGGGCAGAATGTTCCTTCTCAAATTAGCTTCAGAGTTCACAGAGCTGGCAATGAGAGGCAGATAATTAAGACAGTAGATGAGTACTGCATAAGGGAAAACAGAATATAATCACAAGAATGCAAAAAAAACAGCGGCTAAAAAAATCCAAAGAAGTTTCATAACTCAGGAGTGGCGGAGAGCCGAAAGTAAATCTAGTTGTGAATTATAAAGGGAAAATGTGCTGTAAGTTTCCTGCAATCTATTTGCCGCTGTCCTCAGCAAATAACTCAAATATGCAGCAAAGGGGGGGTTCTGCATTCAGAACGCACAGACGATGAGGTCTCACATCAATAAATTTCTGCTTCCTTTATTGACCTGGAAGCAGAAAGCACCCCGTGCGGCTGTATATAATAATAATAATAATAATTTACCAGCAGCGCGTGACGGCAGGAAGCGTGCCCACGATAACCCGTGACTCCAACGCAGCCGTTACGGGCTGCAACATCTCACAGGCTTCACGGTCCTTGCAACATTTCCCCAGAAACCAGTGGATCTCCTAGATTCTTACATTAAGATGTGGGTCCAAGCATCTACCAAGCACGTCATTCTTAACACTGCAGCTCCGCTTGAAGCAGAGAGGTCAAGAATGAACCTGGCTCTTTTCCTTGTTAGAGAGACTCTTAAACCCATGGTCCATCTGGATTTAGTAATGTATTCACATTTGCTACTGCATGACCTGGATTTTTCTTATATTTATCTCTGGCTTTCCCTGGCTCTTCATCCTCCTTTGACTTTGGTCCATGGAAATTCTCAGTCAGGTTTCAGAACCTCTCCCATGCTTAAACGAGACTTGCACAGCAGCTCACAAAAGCCCAGTGAACATTAGCTGCTCCACTCCTACAAAGCCCAGCTCGAGGACTTAGGTAACTCTTTGCCTTCAGATGGTCCCTGATTCACATGGAGAATTGAAAGTGAATCTTCCCAAATCTAGAATTTTGTTGTATCCAAGTCAGGATGTCATAGTCTGAAGGAGCGATCAGATAAATGGGTAAATCAACTCAGTGCATAGTTGGGTTCAGGGGGGCACGATTAATCCCTTGGACACTACAGGCAGGACAGTCCTGATGAACATCTGGATCAAGGACCTGCTCTCACCTGCTTTGCAGATGGCACCAAGCTGTGGGACAAAGTCATTCGAGGGCAGGGCTACTGTTCAAGAGGGCTCTCAAGAGCCTGGAGGAACGGGCCAAGTGGGACCCGATCAAATTCAACAAGGACAACAGCCAAGTCGCACACGTGGGAAGGAAGACCCCTTGCAGGACCAGGCTGGGGAGCACCTGCCTGGGGAGCTGCTCTGAGGACAGGGACCCTGAGGTCTGGCACACGGCAGGATGAACGTGGGCCAGCACCGTTCCTTGCGATGAAGGCTGCCAACAGGATCCTGGGATCCAACAGATGCCTTCTAGTTCCTGCAAGGAGACCATCAAGATGATGGAGCTGGAGGTGCATGGCAGGAAAAGCTAAGATAATGGTGTAAGGAAAATAGAGCATTCTGATGGGAGGTAACACAAAGCTTTCTCACAGAAAGAACCGTCGGGCAGAGCAGGCTGCC